CATTGCTTCTGCCTCCCGAATGTTGGCGTGTTCATTTTATACCACAAGGTCTGAAAACCTTTTTAATACCACAGAGCTGAAAACCAAGTAAGTGACACAGCGAAAGTAGATGGATTTGGATCCTGTGCTTTCTGCCAGTCATTGTGTATGATCTAAAAGACTGATGTGTCAATGCCACAGTTCTCACAAGCGCAGAGATGACACAAATCCTGAACACATTAAGAAAACGCCACATATCAGCCCGGTGGTCACTGCTCTAATTTGGATGGCTATGGTGAGCTATCCTAAGCTGAGAACAAGGGTCCTTTTGCCTCTGAGAGGCCACAGCTGCTTCCATACAAAATCAAAAGGATTTCATTTTAACTAGCCCTGGCTGCAGCTTGGAGAATTCCATTCTTTCCTTTTTTTTTTAACCTTGATTTTTTCTTTTAGTTATATGGTGTTTTGCCTGCACTCATAGTACCTTCAGAATCAACAACAACAAACCAGGGAGGCAATGCTGGGGACCGGAGTTAGAGCAAATGGTTAGCTACCATGCGGTCTCCTGGAATGGAAGCTGGATCATCTGTAACAACTGCCAGTGCTCTTAACTGCTGGGCACTCTCTCCAGCCCCTCTTCTTTTATTTAAAATTTATTTCTATACATTTTAAATTAAAAGATATTACACTGTTTTCCCCACTTTTGTCCTCCCTCCAACCATTCCCATATACTTTCTCTTCCAAGTTCTTCCTCGTTAAGTGTGTATTAATAAAAATGCTGAAAAATACGAATACAAAATTCTGAGTCAATTTTTTGGTTTTATGTCTTTGGTTTAAGGGCTGACAATGTTGTGTCAGATAAATAATTAGGGAGTATATTCCTACCTGAGATTAATTTTCTCACATGTAAGAGAATTCAACTTTTAATGACCATAAGTTGTCTGAAACTTACTTGGCTTCCTTGGACAGGAAACATAATAAAGAACACAAAACTTAAGTTCAAAAATACCTTAACACTCAACAATAATAAATATTTCTGCAGATCATCGAAGTTCCATTCTCAGCATATAAAGAAGCTCAGTACTACCTGCAGCTCCAGTTCCAGGGGTTTTGACACCGTCTCCTGGCTCCATAACCACCATGCATGAACGTGCTGCTCTTGGGCACCCTGTGACCTAGTTTTGGTCACATATGAGAGATTGTCCAATGGGTCTCCAGGTAAGAAAAAAGCCCCAGGGGCTCAGTCTAACTACGAAAGGACCAGTGGACTTCAGAGAAGTGGAGGCTACTGCTGGGACTGTGCAAACTACATGCTTTTTCTCTCATAATGTTGACGATTCTCTGGGTCATTTTACAGTCGTTTCATCAGCCATGCATGGGACAGATATGGTCAATCTTGGAAACCATTTTTTCTCAATTACTAAAAAAGTCTTTTTTTTTTTTTTTTTTTTTTTTTTTTTTTTTGGTTTTTCGAGACAGGGTTTCTTTGTAGCTTTGAAGCCTGTCCTGGAACTAGCTCTTGTAGACCAGGTTGGCCTCAAACTCACAGAGATCCGCCTGCCTCTGCCTCCTGAGTGCTAGGATTAAAGGCATACACCATCACCACCCCGCTACTTCTCAGGTTTCTTTTCTGGTCATGCCAGCTGTTACTTCAGACCATGGCAGATGTTCTGATTCAGGGTTAAAAGGATTGGGAGGAGGACACCCTAATATATGTAAATATGTTTTGAATGGCATTGTTAATCTTGGAAATGTGAGCCCATATCATTCCCCTTTTAGTTTTGTAAAGACAGTGTGTACCTGGCTTGATATTTGGTTAAGTTAGCAATATGCTAAGTGTTGTTTTCGGTTTAAAGGTGTTTTGATGTAAATGTTGAGAGAAAACATATTTGATGTATTTGTTTTTGCTGGAAGTTAATATCAGAGGATGGAAAAAACTTGATTGTTAATATGGAAAATCATGCTTTTTCTGCTGTATAGACAAAGTAAGCTGGAGCTGTTAGGGGCAGGCCACTTGTGTGAAACTCATGTAGTGGTCAGACAGTGTGCTTCTTCTCACTAATACCCCTTCCCAACTCAGGACTTGAACCCAAGCTGAGGGTGGACCCCAACAGAGTACAAAGATATACATACAGAAAAAAACACCCCCCACACACAAAATAACGTCTGAAAAGCCTAACAGTGATGGCGCACTTTAATCCCAGTACTCGGAGGCCGAGGTAGGCAGAACTCTCTGAGAGTTCAAGGCCAAACTGGTCTTCAGTTTGAGTTGCAGGAAAGCTTGAACAACAAAGAGAAACTTTTCCTCAGTGAAGAGAGAGAGAGAGAGAGAGAGAGAGAGAGAGAGAGAGAGAGACAAAGACAGAGAGAGATTAGTAGATAGATAGATAAATGGATATATTAGATAGATAGATAGATGATAGATAGATAGATAGATAGATAGATAGATAGATAGATAGATAGATAGATAGATAAACAAAGACTGAATTTAGACCTGTGAAAAATGCATCAACAACAAAACCATAAAAAGAGAGGGTTTGCACATCAAACTTAGTGTGGTATTGCGTTCTTTTAATCAGCGCTCCAGACAGCAAGGCAGGAAGATACATGTGGGTTTTCAAGTATGTACTACATAAAACACACACATAGACGAAAAGAACAATACTGAATAACACGCAAGAAGTTGAGCGTTGGATAATTGGGTCAATACAATGCCTTTTAAAGTCATTTCAGATGGGGGAATTTTACACTGTTTACACTCCAGGTTTTTTCTTTCATCCAATTATTCTCCGAAATCAACATCACACTTTTCTTGAACTCTATCTAGTTTACGATTTGAACTAGCTTGTCTGTAAATTAAGCTCTTTGCACACTTTCTTTTAGTGCTAAGACCCCAACTATGGGAGCTGAAACAATGCCTTCGAAGGTAAATATTCTCGCTAGCAGCAACCGAGTGAATTTTCAGAATGTTTTTTTCTGAAATTGTTAGAAATTTTCCCAGAATTGCATTGAAATGTCTGGAAGACCTCACTTTTTCTAATTTTATACAATTATAGTATTATTTGTTATTTTATCAAAACTTTGATTCAATAGCTATTATCATATGTTGCATGAAATAAAGAATGCTTATACTGGATTCCATGTTTCTATTAAAAACAGATGAGGACCAACTAGAAAAGCCTATAAACTAAATAGATTTTTTTTCATTATATCAAAAGTAAAATTAGCAGTGTTTCTCATAATATTTCCTCTCTATGGGTAATGAACTAGGTCATATGTACTAAACTTCACAAAGAAATATGATATATACTTCTCCATTATAAACTAGGTAAGAAAACAGTGAAAACATACTATTGAATAAGGCTAGATGTATGTTTGTTTGTATACCATAATTCATTAGAAAATGAAATTATTGGTGGGGCTTACCAAGGCTCCATGATAGACTAATGAAGTATTCAGCTTGTATTGAGCCCAATATGGGAATAAGAACTAGGCTGCTTCTTCTCCAGATGAACAGGGAGGAAAGTGAGACCCTTTTTAAATACTGGTTACATGTTGTGACCATGTATTTAATATCTTTGCTTCCAATAACTTGCACAGGGTAAATTTTTATTTTCCCTTTTTTCTGTTGACCAATAAAAAGCCATCTCAGTATTAATTTCCAGGCATCTTGGTGTATTATTTGTTATTCTGGGCAAAACATATATATGGGTCAGGACGTTTATTTTAACGAGCATAGTAAAAATTCTTTTATATATGTTAAAATAGTTTAGTGAGGAACCCCAGTACAGCCAAGCCTGCACATGTTAACCAGAACTCACTGATATCATTCACTCAAGATAACCAGACACAGTCCTGGAATCCCATGACACCCACTAGGCAGTATATAGAGACTAAGTGCAATGCTTTGCTCTGAACATCTGGAGAGAAGCTAGGGAGTTTCCCACAGGATCCTGTTTCTTGAATTGGAGACTTCTGTAAGAGCCTGAATATGGCCTTTAGCTAAGATAACTTATCAGAGTTAAGCAACCATAAGAAGATTGGTATAGGACTACAGTTAGCAATTTTCAGGGTGAACCTTTGGTGATGATCATTAACATAATAAAATTTAACTTTTAATATACTAACTAAGTATATCTACCTTCTTGTTCAGGACATTTCTCTATTCCCCCAATTTTCCAGTATTAGTAGTTATTCTTTTGGTGAATATTTCCCTTTCTGATACAATTACCACAATTCTTGATAGCAACCCAAAACCTCCATCTATAGAAACACAATCATTTATAACGTCAGCAACCTCTAGAAATCTGGTAATAGCCACTACAACTATTTTTTTCTTTTTCTTCTTTTTCTTCTTGCCCTACCCTTTGTTCTTAGAGCCAGACTTCTAATCTCTAGGCGGACGTGTGTTGCAACACCCAGAATGGCCCAGTGTCCTTGTGCTCCAGAATTTCCCGGGTGGGGAAGGGGTAGGGGGAAAATGAAGCTAGTCTAAGCTAGTCTGGGTTTCTAATTTCTCACTTTGCTGGGAAACTTCTTGTTCCTTTCAGAATAGGAGAGAGGTTCGCACAATAATATTTCCAGTTTTACTGAACCGCTCACCTATGATGATTAGGCAGGCTGTCTGATAAGTTGGGAGCTTAGCCCCCAGCCCCTGGCCTGGGAGTTGCTTTACTCTGGACTCCAAATCCCAGCATGGCATGTCCTGACCCATGAGCTCCCAGAAGAGAAACAAGTGGTTTTCAGGTCTGCATGGGCTCCCTGCTGTCCTGTCTTGCGGGCCAAGTGCTCAACCACCCTAGAGCGTCATTCTTAATAAAACAATGGGTATTTTATTTGGTTTGATTCGACCCAATTGGATTTCTTGTGCCGGCAGAGCTGTCGTTTTGCTTATCACTGTCCTAGAGACATTCCAAGTCTCTAGTAATTTCTGGTGGCTACGAAGTAGTGAAAGACCCCCAGTGCTGGGGAGACTCTCACTCAAGTCTCGGGATAACACGACCCCACCCCCAGTAACTCACGAGAGACTGTCTTTGCTGCAATCACACGAGGCTTTAATGATGAGATGAGACGGGAACCAGTGCACTGGGACCGAGACTCATAACCCACGCAGGGGGAGAGCTCCGGCGATTTTTAAGGGAAGAAACCACAGCCCGGTGATCCGGAACTGGCAGGGAGTGTGTCACAGAAAATTCTGAAAATACCAGTGAAGAGCACAACCCCCTGCCTCTCAGGACCACTCCCAAGGTCATAATCAGCTAGTTCTTAAAACACGTCACAACGACAATCACAAGGGGGAAACTCCCTGTTTCTTAAGATTATTCTCAAGATTACAACCTAACTTTATCTTCAGCAAGTTCCTGAAACACAGTCACTAAACTGGCTAATGCTAGATTCCTGATTCTTCTCTTCCTGCTTGGATTTTTGGCTATTTTCTTCCTGCTGGGGAGGTCTTTCAGTTAGTAGGGGACTCAAGAAACCTGTGTAAATCAGTTGGACACCAGAAAGTATTTGGAAGGCCCCTGAGCTTCTGAGGGTCTGGAGAGTGCTACTAGAAGCTAAGAAATCAGAAGGCCACTTGCTGGAGGGATGATCCTTAAAAGGGGCAGATAGAAGCCTGCCTCAGTTTCTCTGTATCAGGAGATCACCTGGGAGGCCATAGTCAGGTGTTCCTTGGCTGTTCCCAGCATCCTGCCACTCGAGATGGCTACAATGTCAGCAGTACGTGATCTCCACCACTCTGTAGTTCATCAATAGCCCTGCCTGTCTCTTTGCCCATCTTTTCTCAGGTGACGGGGAACTCCAGGGACCAGTTCCAGAGCTTCAAGAGATCAGGTGGCTTGATGCTCTGGGAACAAAGATTTTCACCCATGGGCAAGAAGGGAGCTGGGTTGGTAAACAAGGCTTCTTAGCTTGCTTAGAGCCCTGTCTTCCTGCCTCAGGGAGCCAATCCTCCCAAGAGCAACTAGCCACACCCTTTCCCTGAGGCAAAGCCAGCAGAAGTTCCTCCAGTTCACTTAATCTCCAGACACAAACCCTGGAAAGTTCCTCACAGGCACACCCACACAAAAGGCTCACCCCATCTCCCCCTCTAAGAAATACCCTTGCAGACTTTCTCTTGAGGAGATTAAGAGGACCTGAGAATCCTGTGGCGACCTCAGTCCCGAGAAATGAGGTAAAATGACCACGGCTTGCCAGTTACCTGGGAGAGCTGCTCTGGGATCAAGGCCGGTGCAGACTGCAGGGCAACAACCCACTCTATCAATAGGAATCTGGAAGAGAGAACTGTTCCTCCAGGGAAGGAATGAAAGAGGAACCCAGAACTACAGATGGCAAGGCAGGCAAACTCTTGAGTCCTGGAAGATCTCAGGTGGAGAACACATGAACATAGAACATGTGTGTTGGGGGGATCTAATGAGACCCCACCCCTAGACAAGGTACTACAGGAAATCAGTAACTATTGAGAGAAGTAGAGTCATTTTTCCCAGGCAAGAGCCTCCTAGGTGTTTATCCAAAACAAAGTTTTCTGCCCTAAAATCATAGAAACACAAAAAATACCAAACTGATTCAGCAGCTTATATTTAAATCTTTCTATTTGTAAATATAAAAATATATGTGCAAACCCCAGACTCACTAAAATATGATTTTATCTTTGATTCAAAGAATGTAAAACCAAGGTCAAGCATGCTGGTGTAAGACTTCATTCCTAGCAGTTTGGAGGCAGAGGCAGGGGGATTGGTCTGTGAGTTCAAGACCATTCTGGTCTACATAACAAGTCCCAGGGCAGTCAGGGCTAGATAGAAAGAATGTACCAAAAACCAAGCTAAATAAAAACAGAGTCTTCCTTCATTACATCAAAATGTTAGCATTCTTTACCACTTAAGCCTCATGAAGTTTTCCAATTTCAGTGTTTCCAGCAGGTGCAATCTTTTATGATTTTGATATAGATACAAAAGCCTTCCACTCAACCACCAATATTAAAAATATTTTCTGTATCCTCTCTTGCAGAGCAATGTACTACAGTTGTAGAGTTGCAGAGATATCCTGACTTATTAGGAAGCCAGCCTAGAGCTGCGATAGAACAGCTCTAGAGGCTGCAGTCACAATAGAACAGCTCAGCCCTGGAGGACAGACTTCCTGATTATGGGGAAGTCAGGCTACTTGAAACTTTGGTGTGATGGATGGATAGTCTCCTTGTAGGATATGGCAATGCTGTCCTTCTGGAGAGCCCCTACAGCTGAGCTCTACTTTGTTCCCTTAAGGAAACATCCCAGCAGAGCTATCCACTTATTCTCCTGTCCAAGATGTTTCTTCTTTTGCTAACACTCTGCTAAAGGGGAAGCCCCTACAGAAACACAGCAATCTCCTTAGGCTTCCACTAAAAGTTGTTACTTTTTTCTGCTTGGCCTTGCTCAGCTCCCCTTAAGACGAATCCTAGCCAGGTTCCTCTGTTCTGCTCCACCTTGCTGAGGCTCCTTAAGGGAGTGTCTCAGGAAGGTTTTTCAGCTCAGTCCCCTAAGAGAGGTCCCAGCCAGATTTTTCTATTCTGCATGGGCAAATCAAGATTATCACCCAAGATGCTTTTGAGAAAGAGATTTATTTGGAGGGAGGAATCCAGGAGAGTGGCTTTCTCTGCCAGAGAGGGATAAATGGCGACCTCTAACAGAAGGACCAGAGAGGCTTATATAGGGCTTCTTAGGGGCGGAGTTTTCCTAGGGAGAAGGAGGACTGGTATTTTTTCCCTGCTCAGGGACTGGTTAGTTTAGTTGGTTGGGGCACTGAAGGCTCTCACTTCATGACCAAACTGTTTGTCCGTCTGTCTGTCTCTTTCTTTCTTTCTTTCTTTCTTTCTTTCTTTCTTTCTTTCTTTCTTCCTTCCTTCCTCCTTCCTTCCTTCCTTCCTTCCTTCCTTCCTTTTCTTTTTTTGGGGGGAGGATATTTTACATGTATTTATTTTATGTACATTGGTGTTTTGCCATGGGGGTTGGGTCCCCAAAAACTGGAGTTACAGACAGTTGTGAGCTGCCTTGTGGGTGCTGGGAATTGAATCTCTGAAAGAACAATTCGTTCTCTTAACTGCTGAGCCAGCTCTCCAGTCCCTACTTTGAAGGATAATAACTATGCTGATATGGGTAAGGCAAAAACAGATACCATACAATGGCGGTGACTGTACAAATGCGTTGGTCCAAATACATTTCAATGACGGTGCAGATGTATTGGTAATTGTATAAATTTGCAAATGTTGTAAAGGGTATAACCTTCTTATAAATTAGCCTAAATGCACTTTGACCTGATGTTTCCAATTTAGTGGGTTATCAGAAAACAGTCCCAGATTGAGAAAATATTTAATTTAGACAGATGTGAAAGTATTATTAATAAGCTGAAAATAGCCCAGGTTCAAATAACTGCACTACTAATGAGAAAGATCCACACACTGGAACAGCAGATAGTCATGAAAATTGATCTTAAAATAGTAGTTCTCAATATATGGGTTTCGACCGTTTCACAGGGGCCACCCACCAGATAGCCTGCATATCAGTTATTGATGTTATGATTCATAACAGTAGCACAATCACAGTTATGAAGTAGCAACAAAAATAATGTTATGGCTGGGGGTCACCAGAACATGAGGAACTGTATTAGAATGTTGCCATTAGGAAGGTTGAGAACCACTGTTTTAAGAGAATTATTAATAGTTTTATCATATGGGGGAAAGGGGCATGGAGGAGATCTACCAAAAGAAAAGCTGTTTCTTGTTTAATGGATTTACCTTTCTTAGGGTTTTTCTGTTTCCCTAAACCTACAATGCACACAGGAGGTTTGGTCACAGTCTCTGGAGTCTGGATGTGACCTTCCCTCTGTTGCTCACTCACAGTGTCTTGTAGGGCCCTGCTCCACGGCTTCATCTTGAGGACAGTTTCTGGTCAGGAGCTAAAACATCCTGTTTGTTCCTGTGCTCCCTCTGCCAGGCCTGGTGATTAGCTGTAGGGCATTGTTTACTCCATCTTGGGTGTGGCAATTTCCCACCTGCCCTGGGGGGAATTCCTTGTGCAGCAGCAGCAGCAGCAGCTAGGTGTGTAAGGATTTTTCCCAAAGTTGAATAAACAGCATTCTTTTCAATCTCCAGGCCCTTGTGTGCGAACTGTACCAAGAGGGTAACACAGATGCAGGTGTTACAGTGTCTTCCATTCTCTTGTGTAAAATGAAAGTGACTGAAAGTGTCTCCCCAGGTGACTGTCAGGTCCGAAAGTTATGTCCGTGGGTGCTTAGCTCAGTGCCTGCTGGGCACCAAGTCCCCAGTAAGTGTTAGCTATTGTTATTGGTTAGAGCGAGGGAGAAAGTTCTATCAGCAGTAGGCACCTGAGGACAAGTTTGCTCAGATTTGCACAGGCTTGGCCCTCCCCGGGACTCTGTTTACTTAATCCTCTAACTGATCTCCAGAGGCAAGACTTTAGATACCTTGACTCTCTTGTGTATTTAAAAGTGCTGTGCCCAAAACACCAGGGACACTGAGAGAACTCAATGCTACTGATTGTGGCTGCTTATGACCTCAAGACTGCTGGCCCTGATTTTTTTTCCCCAGAGTGAAAGATAACAATCTCTGTCTCCTTTATCCTGTGGATGAGTTAAAGGCTATAAAATAGTTTTCCTCAGAGCAAAATCTCTACAGGGTCATTAGAAGACTAAGAAACCCCCTGGTGAAGCCAGGCGGTGGTGGCACATACCTTTAATCCCAGCACTTGGGAGGCAGAGGCAGGTGGTTCTTTGTGAGTTCGAGGCCAGCCTGGTCTACAAGAGCTAGTTCCAGGATAGGCTCTAAAGCTACAGAGAAACCCTGTCTCGAAAAACCAAATTAAAAAAAAAAAGAGAGAGAAAGAAAGAGAGAAAGAAAGAAAGAAAGAAATCCCCTGGTGAATCAGGACTCTTTTCAACTTAAAATTTAATATTATATAAAAAGTGCTAAAATAACTTCATATAACTCTGTGACCCAAACCACAATTCTGGCACTCATAAATATGCCATTCACGCTCACTGTAATGTTTTGGGGCAGGGATTATTCGGCTCACAATTCCTGATGCAGTCCATCATTGAGGGAAGACAAGACTGGAACTCAAAGCAGGAACCTGGATGCAGAGACTGAAACAGAGACCATGGAGTGCTGCTTACT